TAAAGCACAGAAGACATCCAGTGTCAGTGCTCAGGCCCGGCATCCAGATCCTGCTCACTGGCTTGTAAATTCTGGGGGTAAATGTTATTTAATCTTTACTGTTCTTTTAAACACAGTCTTCATTGTTCATAAAACACTATTTGTGTTGTATAATCAGAAATTAAAAGAAGCAAGAGAATTCGACTCATGTTTATGAGAGGACATGGCCGCTAGAAGGGTCAGTAGAAGAGACACGTTGGAATTATCAGAGGCTTTGAAATAGCTGTGATAGGTGAGCAGGAAGCCATTGAAAAAGTATACAACATCTATGAAGAGTTGGGGGGTGTTGCACAAAGCTAACAACTATGAAACAAACAAAATGGAAATACTGGAAATGAAAACTGTAGTATTAGAAATAGAATTCCCATGGTTTAATAGGAGAGTAGACATAGCAAAGGGAAGACTCATTGAATGAACTGGAAGTCTGATCAACAGAAATTTCCCAAACATAAAACAAGGAGAAAAGGCATGAAAATACAGTGGAACAGAGTGTCTGAGGCCTGTGGATCGTCAGTGGTCTACCTGTAGCAATCAGAGCCCCAGAAGGAGTGGGTGAGAGAAAACGAGGCAGGAGAACAATCCAGACCTATGGCCAGGAGTGAAGGGAAAAATCAACACAAAAATTCAAGATATTCAGTGAGCTCCAGGCAGAGTAAATGAGAAGAAACCCCACCCAGACACATTGTTGTCAAAACACTGAAGGTCACTGTCCGAGTTCGTCTTAAAGCAGCTGTGTAAATAAAGCTACATGGGGGGAATAATAAAAATGATACTGAGCGCCTGTCAGAAGTGCAGGAAGCCGGAGTACAGTGGCGTTGCCCATACAGGTTGCTGAGAGAACTGTTTATCCACAGGAGAGCCTTCAGAATGGAAGAGGAAAGCACATGCTTAGCCAACCTAGAGAATCCATCAGCTAACACGTTTCACAAGAAATGGAAATAATGTCTTGGGATGAAAATAAATGATGGCAAAATGAAGCCCAAATTTTTAAGAAGAAATGAATACTAAAATGGATAAAAACAAGAAAACATTTTAGAATATCAGTATGAAGACATGTCAGTATTTTTCAGTTTGTTTAAAAAGTGTTAACTGTTTAAAGCAAAAATTTAACAGCTGATGTGCTTATAGCATATGTAGGAATAGCAGATGAGACAACAGGAAGGGCCCGGGAAATGTACCATTGCAAGATTTCTTCGTTTTCATAACACTATGTGAAGACAGAATGCAATAAATCATGCAAAAAATTAATACACAGAGGGTAAAATGAAATACCAAAAATATTCTTTCTATTCATGAGAAAAGGAGGCAGGAAGGGAGGAACAAAGAACAAAAAGGACAAGAACCCACAGCAGTTGCACCCATAAAGACGTGAAAAGCAAATGAACTGTAGATGACATGATTGCTGAGGTTGGAATGTCTGTGTCCCCTCAAAACTTGTATGTCAAAATAGAATCCCTAACACAGTAGAATAAGATAGGCCTTTAGAAGGTGCTTAGATCGTGACAAGGGCACCCTCACCAATGAGACTTCCACCCTCATACAAGAGGCCTAAAGGAACATATTCATCCATTCTGCAGGTGCCTTGATCTGGAACTTTCTAGACTCCAGAGCTGTAAGCAGCCGTTACCTAGTCTAAGGTAATTCACGGCGGCGAGAGCAGACCCAGCCTCATCCTGGTGGGCCTTCGCATGTGCAGGAGAGGCAGACATTCGCCACAGACCATGTGAAGGACAGCGTCCAGCGGCTGGCGTCCGGTGCAGCACAGGGAGGGCCGAACTCCCAGTCAGGCTTCTTGAAGGAAGATGCTGGCTGGAGTTCACGAAGATGAGTTAGCGGTGACGAGAATGGGGAGGGAAGAGCACTCTGGGCAGGGAAGCGGAACTGAAGCCCCTGCAACCTCAGAGGGTTAGGAGAGGGAGGACGGCAGAGGCATGCGTGAAGCACTGGCCCTTTTCCCACGATCAGTGGGAGATTGTGACAGGGCTTCGGGCAGGGACGTGTCATATTTAGCTACTCATTTTGAAAAGATGACTCGCAGTACAACATTAAGGCTCCTCCAAGCCTGTGACATTTCCATAGCCCCTACATTTAATATGAATAGAGAAATTCTTCTGGAAAGAGGAGTACAAAGAAGTAGTTAAATTGTATGTCATTTTCCCTTTTAATTTCAGAAATGTCATTTGCCTGGAGACATATAACACCAGCTTTTTCTTGTCTTCTCAGACTAACCTAGAGTACTAGATAAGCCCAGTGTCAGTTCTCTGGAGTTGTTTCGTTCTTTCACACATTTCAACTTAACTGTAGCATTATGTACAAGTACTAGATTGTGCTAATATTATGGTGTGTGAATTGCTGAAAAGGATGATCACTAATCAGCTTAAGCGCTGAAATTAGTGCTGTTTTGTGTTTTCTGTGCTGATATTTGGGGTGTGAGTCTGTTTATCTTCCACTGAGATTTAAATACAACTCACCTGTTCAAAAAGCACTTAATACCTAATTGGTCTAATATTTTTTCTTTTCTTTTTTTTTTTTTTTGAGACGGAGTTTCGCTCTTGTTACCCAGGCTGGAGTGCAATGGCGCGATCTCGGCTCACCGCAACCTCCGCCTCCTGGGTTCAGGCAATTCTCCTGCCTCAGCCTCCTGAGTAGCTGGGATTACAGGCACGCGCCACCATGCCCAGCTAATTTTTTGTATTTTTAGTAGAGATGGGGTTTCACCATGTTGACCAGGATGGTCTCAATCTCTTGACCTCGTGATCCACCCGCCTCGGCCTCCCAAAGTGCTGGGATTACAGGCTTGAGCCACCGCGCCCGGCCCAGGTCTAATACTTTTATGTCAGTAAGAAACTTATTTTTTGGTATATACATTTGTCCCTCAGTTTCCACAGGGGACAGGTTTCCAGACTCCCCATGGATACCTAAGTCCCTGAGTGTCCCCCACGGACACTCAGGTCCCTGCTAGAATCTTCAGATCATCTCTAAATGACTTATAATGCCTAATGTGATGTAAATGCTGTGTAAATAATTGTACCGTATCGTTCAGGGAATTATTACAAGAAAATGTCTGTGCCTGTTGAGTACTGGTGCAGTTTTTTTTCAAATATTTGTGAACCAAGGTTGGTTAAATCTAAAGATACAAAACTCAGGGATATGGAAGGCTGAGTCTTTAACGTTTTTTATTATATAACTGAATTTTAATGTGGTTCCTTTTTTCTCATTACTGTAACTTGGAATTTCAAAAAGTCTTTATCTTATTTCTGAATAGGTTTTAGTTGGAATGGATAATGCTGTTTTTCTGTGGATCCTTTTTGCAAGTATTTGATTCTTAAATACTGAGAGGCATTCTTTTGCATTAGGGATCTCTTTATTTAAGGATAGCATTCTTTGAGAATATGAAGATTTTGTTAAATACTGGCTCAACATGTATCTTGAAATTTCAGACTTTGTAGCTCAGGGATGTTGTAATTCGGAGGCATCTGTATCTTTCCTCTCCGCCCCCTTCAAACTCGTCTCCATGCGTGCTTCAGCCCACTTGGCTGCAGGTGCACTGTCGCCTCCTCCACGTGGTGCAGGACGGGAAGGAAGTACTAGCCGTGCACATTTTTTTCTGAGATACTACCGTGAGCCATTATAATAGAATTTCTGAATTAAGCTGATTTAGAATGTTGACTTACTTTCATTCCAGTTAATGTTTAGGTTTCAAGGAATCACGAAGGAAGGAAATTATTTAAATCACTGCATTCAGCTTGAATGTATTCAGCAAAAGTCCACTATGTGTTTGGAATGTACATGCCTTTATTGACCAATTATTTTCTGCTTTCATGCCCTGCGTCTGTTTTTTAAAGATAAAGATGCTGAGAGAGGGTGGGAGCCATAATTACCCTAGTGAAGTAACAGAAAAGTGGAATCATGAATTTTTTTTTTTTTTGAATCTTGAGTCATTGCTTATTTTCATAGACTTGGCTCTGTTGTGAGTGGTGGCAGTTTTTCCATCTGGCTTTGTTACCAAATTTCAGCCTGAAGAATCCCAGTTCAGAACTCCCTTTTCACTGCTGTGGCTGTGTCTTTAGTGTCTGCCTGTTGTCATAGGGTGTGGGTGGGTGCTGGGCCGTACACACAGAGAACAGGCGTGCATCAGTCCAGGCACCTGTGGAAAATCTTTTGTACTTCTTGGGAATATTTGGGAAAGACAGCTAAGTGACAGAGGGAAAAATACCTTGCATTCAAGGAGCTTGCCCAGGTTGCTTTCTGGAATTGTCCAGCAGCTGAGGTAGATGATTTAATACAGGCAGCAGGCAGGGACCACAGCCATGGAAGATAAGGAAGAGAAGAAAACAAAAGGTGGTGTCTGTTTGGGGAATAGCAACGGGACCTTTGCTGGAGTGGAAACTCCTCATGAGGCTGCTGAGCAGACTGCAGAGAGCTCAGTGTCAGATTCTCTCAGGCTTCAGATGCACAGTGGCCTCTGCTTTCGCCTGATCATGTAGGTGGATAGGGCCAGAGCCCCAGTTTCAGATGTAAACGCTGCAGGCCCTCCTTTGTTACTAGAATCAGAAACTTGGAACTACCTTAACAGATTTAGCAAATAAAACTTGCCCTCCCGCTTCCCTCAGAAAGAGCGCGGTGAGTGAGACTGTGCAGTGCACCTTACGTGTGGAAAAGTCACTCAGCCACTCACCTGCTGCCGCCTCTTCTGTTGCTCTGTGGATATGCTGACATCTTTAAAACATTTCTTTTAGCCTTTAACGATACAGTGATTAATTTTAATGATTTCCATCTTCGATGTTGTTTTTGATCTTCTTTTCATTTTGTTTCCTGCTTTTCGCATTCTCCTCCCCACCCCCCTCTTCTCTGTCCCATTTTTCACCGTCGGGTCATGTGTGTCTGTCTGTTGTGTGCGTGGGTTTCTGTTGTCTGGTGTTCTCTCCTCTCTTCTTGTCCTCACCCTTCTGCTGCTGTAGCCTCACAGGCTGTGGACCCTGGCCGAGCAGGTAGGGGACTTTCCTGTCTGTCACACCCGTGCCTCCTTGCCTAGCCCTGCTGCCTTGCGCGCATCCTGCCGCGGGGCAGACGAGCAGAGTGCAGATTGGCTGGGGGTCTGTGGGCCCTGGGATCATGGGTGCTGCTGGCCCAGCGGTGTCGTGTCGAGGCCTCAGACGGAGCCGACGCTGTCTTCCCGTGGTGCGGTCGGTGGTCCCTTTGCCAGTTTGGGTTGTCTGTTTTCTTTCCTTCTCCACCTGTTTTCCATTTGCTTGTTTATTCTTAGTTGACCCTCTGTGGCTGTGTATTTTGCATTACTCACCGTGGCTGGTTCTCTGCTTGGCGCTGGTCTGCGGCGGCTTCGCTGCACAGCTGACTCGCATGTTCTCTTCTTTTTCTCCATCTCAGTGGTGAGATACCACAGCACAGGGTTACTGAGTACTATGGCATGTTTTAGTGACATTGTCTTTGTTTTTTTTTCTTATATATAAACAAGACAATTTTATGCATTTAGTACAAAAATTGAAATTCTCTCCTGAAGAATTTTAGTGTAATTGTTCAAACGAATTCTGAAGGGATTCCTTATTTTTTTGGTAAATTTATTGTAGATTCAGTGTTTTTTCCAACCAAGGTATTATATTGCCTTCCCAAAAAGTGGACATACAATTTTGGTTTGTAATGAGACCTAATGAGACTGCTCTTACCTGGACAGAGGTAACTGGTCAGAAATCAGCATGGTGTAATTTTTCAAGCAATTTGTGGTGCCAAGATAAGATTTCTGGATCCCTGTGTGAAATCAGCAGCCCAATGGCTCAACCACAAAGTCCTGCATAGCTTACCAGGATAAAATACCCCTTCTCTGACCCATGTCTTGGCCAAAAGTGTCCTCCTGAGGCCGGAGGATCAAGATGCTGCCCTCACCTCTTCCTCCCTGACGTGTCCGTCCACGTCCCGCATCTGCTTCACTGCCCTGGGCCCTCAGAATACACCTTTTGTTTTTAAAGGTGGATGCATGTAGTGGAAGTTTCTCCACAAAGATGCTTCATACCCTTCCCACCTGCTTTTGCAGCCAGCCGCCATCCCGGCAGTTTCCTTTTAATTGGCACAGTGTGTGGTTTATCTCTTCTCGCTCCTATTTCTGTATATCGGTCGTCAAGCTGTGTGAATCCAGTATTATCCTAATCAGGTATTCCTTCTGGAATTTAGGTTATCAAACTGAAAGCTAACAGCTGGTGCCTTGAAGAGGTTGTTGGTCCAAATGCTTTTAGTTTTATTTTTCACTTTAAGATTTTACCAAAGAAATGTTTCCCAGCTAAAAGAAGCATAGACCCTGATCTTCCACGTAAACTTGAACTAAACACCCTGTGTTGTTGCTTGCAGGGGACCTCAGGACCTGACCCAACCACTGTCTACGTGGACATGAGGGCCCTGAGGCATGACAGGTACTGTATGCTGCTGGGGTTTTTTCTTGTTTTCCTTTTTATTTTCTGTTCTGTGGCCTTGCACGCAGGTATCTGTGTAGGAGAAGTGGTGGGCATGACGCTCAGAGCATGGCTGTCGTGAGTGACGTGGTGGAGTTAGGCATTGGCCTGAACTTTGCAATTAGAAAACTGGCTGGGCACAGGGGCTCACTCCTGCAATCCCAGTACTTTGGGAGGCTGAGGCAGGCAGATCACCTGAGATCAGCAGTTTGAGACCAGCCTGGGCAACATGGCGAAACCCTGTCTCCACTAAAAATTAGCCAGGTATGGTGGCGAGCACTTGTAATCCCAGCTACTTGGGAGGCTGAGTCAGGAGAATTGCTTGAACCTGGGAGGCAGGGGTTGCAGTGAGCTGAGGTCTCACCTCTGCACTCCAGCCTGGGCAATAGAACAAGACTCTGTCTCAAAAAAAAAAAAAAGAAAGAAAAGAAAAACCCACTGCGGCACAGCAGTGGTAGGAAGAATGTGGCCAGAGCCGCTTTATCTGACTGTCTCACCGGGGGCAGGTGCTTGGTTCTTTTCCTTGGCCATTTTAAGAGGCACCATTTTGCACCTCTTATAAAATTTCAGCATCCTGCCCACATTTCTTTACATGAATGGAAATGTTTTGTGAAGGTGCTTAAAATTGGGGTTAGGGGTCACCTTTTCTATATGGCCTCCTAAGTGGCCCCGAAGAAGAAAAGTGGAGTTCTTGGTGAGTGTGTAAGTACGTCTCCAGGAGGCAGGGATGATAGGGTTGAGCAGGATGAAAAGACCTGTGGAGGAATCTCACCTGCTCAGATGAAATTTCGCCTGTTCACCTTCCTCTAGAGAGGAAGGAAAGAATGCTGTCATTTTTACTGCAGACTTCCCCATTGAAACAGGTCATTTTCCACTTGGTGACTGGACATGCCCATTCACTGTGGCTTAGGTGAAGTGTGTGGGACGTGGTGTCTGCCCTTATCACCATCAGCAGCTGCTCTGTGACGTGCTGTTGTGTGTGCCTGTGCCCCGGGGAGGTCTGGTGTGCCTGGAGGCATTTTCAGTCCTCACAATGTGAGCAGTGGCTCAGCTGGCATCTGGTGGGGGGAGGCAGAGATGCTGCCCCGCAGCCTGCGTGGAACAGCCCGTGGCTGAGAGCTCCCAGGCCCAGAAGCCACTGCTGCCCTGACCAGGGTTCACTCTCATGCATGTGTGCCTGGCCCTGTGGCTCTTGTATCTGAACCTCCGGTCGACAGACCCACTGGCTGCACAGTTAAGAAATAACAGATAAGTGGTGGCCACCTAGAAGCCCTAGAGAGGCCCTACAGGCTGTGGGCCAGGGACATCACCTGCCCAGGGTCACCAGCTGCCGGGGACAAAGTTCAGACTGGACCACTTAGAGAAATCAGAAATGTCATTTGAGATTAGATAACTTGTTTCTGGGTGTACAATTTTCTAAATAATCACTTTTAGGCTCTAAAACAAATCTGCTTGACTCCCCATAAGAATTCTTTGGAAAACATCTTATAATTGTATAACTTCCTGAAGAAGTGAGCAGTAGCTCATCAAAGAACACATTCTTGCAGTTCTGTGTATGGCCTGGCCCTCAAAGAGCAAACTTTGCCCTGACTGGGCTGCTAGCTCCTTTGGAGAGCATCTGAGATGGAAGTGAGGGTTCATAGGAAACAGGAGCGCACCATCCAGGTCGGGGTCCCACATGCCCGTCAGCACTCACGGCTCTGGCTCTTGCCTTGGTCTGAGCAGCACCAAGGGGAGCTGCTCGGATGCCGATGTCTTCACAAGACTCAGACCCTCCCTGCGTCCTCAGCATTTTACTTACAAAGAACAAAAACAAAGTCCTGCTCCACATGGCAGAGGGACTTCCTTTCACCAGGCCCTGCCCGGGCACCCCTGAACTGCTCCCTGCTGGCCTCCAGAGGCAGCCTGTGCCACTCTTCCTCCCGTGCACTTGGGTGGGAGACGCCACCCTTCCCTCCCGGCTCCTGGGGCTGCTCTCACTCTCCCTCATTCTTTTCCCTTTTTTTTTTTTTCTCACGATGTTCTCTTCTTTGACCTTTCTGACTGGGTCTGTCTGTGCCCCTCTGTCTGGCTGGGCCCCTTCTCCCTTAACCCCAGTGCAGGGAAGTCAGCGGTGTCCCAGCCTCTCCTCCAATGCTGCCTGCAGCCCACGGCCCCCAGCCCACTCCAGGGATTCTGGCCTCAGGAGCCTTCCCTCCAATCTTCCAAGCTCAGCTCCAAAGCTCTCTCCTTCCTTAAACCTCCCTTAAATATTCCCAGGTAAAAATGTCATCCAGCTTTAATCTCCATCGTTACTTCTGACCTTTACCAGCATGTAACAACGCCTTGTGCTGAAGCCACTGGCAGAAGGGGGCTCTGGGTCACACAGGTCAGAGGTCAGCATCTTTGGGACGAGGTGTTATTCTCTGTCACCTCAGCCTCCCTCTTGCGTTAGTCCCTTTCAGTCTCTCTAAGGAACACCTGAGGCTGGGTGATTTATAAAGAAAAGAAGTGTATTTGGCTCAGGGGTCTGCAGGCTCTACTGGAAGTGTACCTGCATCTGCCTCTGGTCACACCTCAGGGTGCTTCACTCACGGTGGAGGGAAAGACGCTGCATGTGCAGAGATCACACAGTGGGAGGAGGGGATGGGGGGGCAGACTCTTTAGCCACTGGCTCACCTGGGAGCTGGTAGAGCGGGAACCCACTCACCCCCAGGGAGGTGCTACACCTATTTGAGGGATCCGCCCACATGACTCCCACTCTTCCCATTAGGCCCCACCTCCAACCCTGGGAATGGCATTTCAGCAGGAGCTTTGAGGGTGCTCAGAACAGGTGCAGTGAAACCAGTCTTTCCAGGCACCTGTGAGGACGATGTCAGGGAACTCTGTGAAGTGTCAGACTGGGGCAGACGCTGTCCCTGGGCTCTGGCAGCCGGTTGATGACAGAGGACTTGCCTCTTCCGTTCCACAGGCCCAGGGCAGCTGAATACAGAGGGTGAGACAGTCAGACAGTCCAAGGCCAGCAGCTGCGAGGCATGAAGTGAGAGCCACCAAAAGCACTGACCTGTTTCTTTCTTGTTATTCTTCCTATAAAAACGGGATGGTGGTTTTCTCACTTGATCTGCATTAGGTTCTGTCACGGGATTAATTACTGCTCTGTCACTTTAGTGGCACACTCACTTGGGAGCTCCAAGGCACCTGCCCAATTATCATCTAATTACTCTGGAGAAGGTTAGCTTATTGGTATGCACCTGCAATTTACTTGAGAGAGGAGGAGAGTGAAGGCTTACAGAGGAAGACCACCATTGTGGAAGTCAGTGGTCAAACAGGTTCATTAGCCATTTCTACTTGGTTTTCTGCCTCTGTTTCTGATGCCCTTTTTATTTATGGAGCCGTGGTGGGTGGGACCCGCCTGCATCTGCACAGGTCACCCTGGAGAGCATTTCTGCATCTCAGAGCAAGGAGACACACTCTCCCTGCTTCTGGTACAGATCACAGTCCCATATGTGCAGGAAGGAAATGATGAAACTGTTGAGACTATCTGGAAGAGACTGTTCATTTTAAAAATATTCTTTTCAATGTTATTCATTTAAAATGAATTCAGTAGTCTCTAGTGACTTCCAATTTGGTCTTTTCATGAATACTTGAGTTTTTCAGACTTTCAGTAGGAAAAAATATGGGTATTTGTCCACAGTTAAAGATGGGGTTTTAAGGCTGGGCACAGGGGCTCACACCTGTAATCCCAGTGCTTTGGGAGGCTGAGGCAGGAGAATCACTGGAGCACAAGAGTTTTGAGACCAGCCTGGGTAACATAGCAAGACTCCATCTCGACACATTTTTAATTAGCTAGGTGTGGTGGCATGTGCCGGTATTCCTGGCTACTCAGGAGGCTGAGGTGGGAGGACTGCTTGAGCCTAGGAGTTAAAGGCTACAGTGAGCTGTGATCACACCACTGCACTCTAGCCTGGGCGGCAGAGCAAGACCTTGTTTCAGAAAGAAATAGTTTTAGCAATTTGTTAGATCTTACGAACATTACACTGGTGTAAAGTCCAAGAATGAAAACTTTCTTAGCTTCCTCAGGGCTTGTAACTTGAAGTTATAGTTAAAGAGTATTACCAGAAAAGCATAGACATTAAATTAATTCCAACTCAGTGGTTAGCCCAGGTATCAAGATCCTGAGAGCAGGGGGCACAGAATAAAAGTCCATCAGTAGACTTGAGACTTAGCAGCAGAGTGGAAGGAGTGAAGATAGAGAAGAAGACAAACAGCTAAACAGCAGACTTCAACCCGGTCAGATCCTTGTGTGTGTGTGTGTTGCAAGTGTGCGAGTGTCGTGTCTGCGCATAAGTGAAAGTGAGTTTGTGTGTGTATGTGAGCTTGCCTGTGTCATGTTGCATGGGTGAGTGTGATCTGGGTACAAGTATGATGTAAGTGCATACGCGCATGAGAGTATGAGTTTGTGCAAGAGTATTGTGTATATGATGCTATTTTGTGTTGCAAGTGTGCCAGTGTGTGCAATACTGTGTGTGTTTCAACTGCACATGCATGTGCATGAGTGTATTGTGTATATTGTGTGCTACAAATATAGACACGTGTGTGTGTGTCATGAGTGTTGCAGGTGTGCAAGTGTGTTGCAGTTATGACTGTTTCAGCTGGTGTACATGTTTATGGCTTTGCACATCTTGTGTGTGCATCCAAATATGCAGCATGTATTCGTATACACAGAGTACATGCAAGTATGAGCATGCATGTGTATGTTGTGTGGGTGTGTGGGTGTGTGGTACAAGTGTATGAGGGTCTGCAAGAATGCAAGTGCACACTCATGCATGTGTGTGCAAGTGTGAGTTTGCATGTGAGTATAGTGTACTGAATTTTGTGTGTGTAAGTATGTTGCATGTGTACATGTGTGGATGCAGATGCATTTGTGCTGGTGTGTTGGCTATGTGAGTATTGTGTGTGTTGCATGTATGTGCATGTGCACA